CTCTTGATGCTGCCTGGCTTGTTGTGTTCTTCCAGTTTCCTGTTTGTCTACCTTGGGTTCCATTCAAACTTTTGGCTAAAAAAAAAACCTCTTTGATTCAGAAAATGCCCATATCATCCAATTCTCAACAAAGCCCATAAATGTAGTTAAAAGTACTGCTGAGTTGCTGATTCACATCGAACAGTAAACGTTTTATTTCAGGTTTTGTGAGGATGGGTTGTTTGAGTACAGTCTACACTCTGCTGATGGTAAGACAACCGAAGGAACATGCTCTTTGTTTCAATCAGCCAATCATCACGATGTACAGCTTACATACCTGGCACAAAAACAGAAATCGCTGGAAAAGTTCAGTAGGTCTGGCAGCATCTTTGGAGAGAAAGTAGAGTTAATGTTTCGGGTCGAGTGACCCTTCCTCAGAATTGATGCTGTTAGAGCTGCTGACCTTGCCCAGCACTTTCTGTTTTTGCTTCTGATTTACAGCATCTACAGTTCTTTTGGTTTTTACATACCTGACATCTCAGCAACAGTGAAGCTCATATGTCACATCACTCAATTGTGTGGCAGGTTGAAAACATCTCTCTGGACTGAAGGCAGCACCCTGATTCTGAAAATACCACACCACTGAATTGTAGCAGTGTGGAATAATGTCCTCAACTTGTTTTCCAAATTTTTGAGGTACTTGACCTTTCCAGAGTAACTTGAGATAGACTGGACTCTTCAGTTCCGAAAGTGACAGTCTTTAACCTGTTTATGAGTTAGCATGATACATAGCAAACAATGATTTGAGCAGGATAGTCATTGCTTCATAGGATAGATTTGATGCACTCTTTTTCAGCAGGGAACTTGCAAGGATAGCAAATGAATATTAGTGTGATGCCAGATACTTTGGCTGTAGATCACAGCAAGTGGTTGATTGAATCAGTTTTATCTGCAGTTGTTCACAATAGGCCAGAGACCAAACACAGCAAGTCTGACCTGTTCAAATAAAATGTTTCCTGTTAGATTCTGCGATTGGACAGCATCTGCTGAGTAATCCTGAATGTTCTAATAATAGTTACATTAACAAACAACTTCAAATACTCAGGTGAGGTCATAGCATGGTTTACTTGTACTTGCTAGAATTGATATACATTCATATACAGCGACTGTTCTCTGCAAACAAAGGAAAATACTCAAGCCTCACATTATTTTTGAATTACCCACGAGCATGTGAGCCTATAGTTCCATACATGGTAACAACTCGGACGATGAGAGTTGGCTTACCAATCAATCAGCTTCCTTATTTTCCTGTAGTTTTAATTGTTGAACTCACTTGAAATTTGGTATTCTTGTATTTGTACTGATGAGTGCAAGGTGATAAGTTTCAGGAACACAGCTCTTCTATCAGCAATATCAAGCACTGTACTATCAAGTAACTGTAAATAAGGACTTGGTTTATTTAAGCTATCCTCATCATAGACTGAATAGCACGGGTTGTTGCTGATCCCAGCACACTGCCTATTTGAGAAGCATTAAGGGTATGCAATGAAAACACAGGGTTGCTATTCTGATCTTGTCATGCGATGGAATGGAAACACATGCTAGACTGTAGGAATGGCTGCAGTGAAAAGGTCATTGCTCTTGACCTTAGATTCTGAATTTTGTGCAGTCTGAAATTAAGAATGAGATTTCTAATTTGTTATTTTCAAGAGTTTGAACCCTTTCGCCCCTATTGGGCCTGCTGAGATTATACATAGATCAACACATGGAATGTTTCCTAACAGAACATTTTAGAATGTGCAGAGAAGATTTGTTCGATATTCAACCCATGGCTTTCCTTCCTCCATTTCAAAATGGGAATTTATTATTTATATTAAATCATTTACTTAAATTACTTTTTAAAAAGTTTGTGCCTTCTCCCCCTGTTTCACACACTCCTTTACTATCTATCTCTTCCTTGTTCCTGTTCACTAAACTCTCATTCCTCCTGATTCTAGGCCTCACTTCTCCTCTCCCACACCCCTCAAATCTATATGTGTCACATTTATTAATTGAATTTAGATGGCACTGGCTAAGTCAACTTTTATGGCACAAGACTTGTTGCCGAGTGATAGTGAGCTGCCTTCTTGAACTGTTGCATTCCACCTGCTGTGGATTGACCCACAATGCACTGAGGGAGGGAATTCCAGGATTTTGACCCAGCGACAGTGAAGGAACTGTGATATATTTCCAAGTCAGGATGGTGAGTGTCTTGGAAGGGAACTTGTAGGGGGTGGTGTTCCCACATATCTGCTGCCCTTGTCCTTGTAGATGGAAGTGGTCCTGGATGTGGAAGGTGCTGTCTGAGGATCTTTGATGAATTTCTTCAGTACACACTGCTGCTTCTGAGTATTGGTGGCGGAGGGAGGATGGTGTCAAGATTCTTGAGTGTTGTTAGGGTGGCACCCATCCAGACAAGTGGGGAGTATTCCATCACACTCCTGACTTGTGCCTTGTCGATGGTGGACCTAACCTCTTACCTATTCTTGTAGCCACTGTATTTACATGCCTGGTCCAGTTCAGTTTCTTGTCAACGGTAACTTTAATAATGTCAATGGTGTGGGGTTGAATGGGTGGGGTGGGGAGGGGTGGGGAGGGGTGGTGATTCAATGCTGGTATTGCCATTCAATGTCAAGGGGTGGTGGCTAGTTTCTCTTTTATTGGAGATGGTCATTGCCATGCAGTGCTATAAATCATAGGATCTGATGCTTGTCCTGATTCAGGTCCTGGGATACCGATCCTAACATTTTTACTTTATTCATTCACGGGACGAGGGCATCTCTGGTTAGGCAGCATTTATTGCCCATCCCTAATTGTCCAGAGGGCAGTTATGAGTCAACCACATTGTTGTGGGTCTGGAGTCACATGCAGGCCAGACCAGATAAGGATGGCAGTTTCCTTCCCTAAAGGACATTAGTGAATCAGGTGGGTTTTTCCAACAATCGACAATGGATTAATGGTCATCATTACACTCTTAGTTCCAGACATTTATTGAATTCAAATTCCACCATCTGCCATGGCAGTATTCAAACCCAGGTCCCCAGAATATTATCTGGGTCTCTGGATTAACAGTCCAGCGATAAGACCACTAGGCCATTGCTCCCCACAAACATGGCAAGCTGGTCCCCATCCTAGGCTCACCTAACACTACCCTGACCCAAGCACAAAGGACCCGTAGAGCCCAGAGCCCAGGTCCTATTTATTGGGCCCTGATGAACCCCACTGTCCTAGGCCTTGTTCGTGTGGCATTGATGTTACTTTACACTTATTAGCCCAAGCCCAGACCTTGTTGCATTTGAACATGGACTACTTCTGTCTCTGAGAGGTTGGGAATGGCGCTGAGCACTGTGCAATCATCAACAAACATCTCCACTTCTGACTTGAGGAATCCTTGATACGAAGGGCAGTCCATCTCACCTCACATATGGAGTTCATCTCTTATGACCATGTTTGAACCCAGGATGTAATGAGGTCAGGAGGTGAGTGGCCCTGGTGGAACCCAAATTCTTCTCAGTGAGCAGGCTATTGTTGCATATGTGCTGCTTGATAGTACTGTTAATGTTCCCTTTTGTCAGTTTGCTGAAGCTACCTGTTCCACCCTTTATGTATCCTCGTCTATTGTGTTTGTGGTTCACTAGAACTAAATACACAATGCAAAGTCAGCGGAGGGTAAACTTGAACGGGAAATACTTTATTGGGCATCCCTTCAGCTTCACAGTCCCGTCAGAGTTTGTCCCTTTAGCTCCTGCCTCTGGGTCACCTGACCAACTCTCTTAAAGGGACAACACACACCCAACTACATACATAACATTGTTCCTTCTTGGTCTTGAATTCCACCCCACCTATTCTTTTTGCACCCTATGTCCTCCTATTCCTTGTCAACCTTTCCCTCCGTCCCCTTTCTAGTCCATACCCTTTGCTCTCAGCTTCTCCTCAAACCAGACTTTTTTCTTCCTCAGTAGGCTAACCAATGCATAACCCTTGCATTCCTTCCCATTTTCTTCTGCTGTTCACCAGCAAACTCTTCCAAACCACATTCACCGGTTCCTTTCCTTTGAATAAATCTCCATATTTCATGCCTATCTCTCCTTCCAACAGCTTCTCTCTAAACCCTCGGCACCTTTTCCAGCTGTCCCTTTCCATTCCAGCCTTTCTGCTCCTCACCCATCCTTTTCTAGTTTCTACCCCTCTCCTCTGGATCCTCCTTTTCCTTTCTTGCCCACCCCCCATCATCTCCATTCTTTTCCCTTACCCCAACAGTCCCTCAACACCCACTTCTCCTCATCTGGCCTGCTCCCATTCTGCCCAGATAATTTCATCATTCTCTCACCTTTTTACTCCAATTCGACTTCCTCTGAGACATCCAGTGCTGCATTAGCCCCTCCTGCTAAGTCTCCCGATCTCCTGTCTCCACCAGCTCGTGTCACTCTCCCTCAAGTACCATCTCCCCCAGTCCACACGCACCAGTCCCTTCCACTCCCTCATGTCTCTCAACCTCCAGCCCCATTGTGCCCCCACCAGCCTCTCCCAATTCATCCCTCCCTCTTGAGCCCTACCAGCCCCTACCCCTCTGCACCATCCAGCCCTTCCTGATCCAGCTCCTCTCCCATCAGCCCCTCCCTTTCCAGCCTCTCCTGCTCCATTGTGTCCTCGCCATCCCTCCAGGGCCCAATCCTGCTCCCACCAACTCCTTACCATCCACTCTGGTCACTAACCCCACCTTCTGAACCCACTCCTACCCACAGATCTCTCCATCTGACCCTTCCTCCAACCCCGACCCCACTCCTCCTGCCTAACCCACACTCCCTCTCCTCTCTGACCCCTCCCCTTCCATCCAGCTCCACCCCCGCCCACACTCTGCCCCTTGGCCCCGCCCACGGGCCGTCACCTAGAGGCCCCGCCCACACATCTCGGTCCCGCCCACGGCACGCATTAGTCCTGCCTAGGCCCCTTAGCTCCGCCCACACAGCAGTCCACCTCCACCGAGCCTCCCCCCACCATCTCATCGCGCACCCCCTTGCTCCTTCCTGCCTCCGCAGTGATCGATAGTTCGGTGTGTGATTGCTCTCCCTGGCCGGTTATCTTGCTCTGTCAGCGCCGTGCTGCCCTGTTGCTAAGATGGCGGTGTTGGCGGCGGCGTTGCCAGCGGAGGCCCAGCTGGGCGGGCTGCTGGACCTCGACCCTCACCTGGAGCCATACAGCAAAGACCTGCGGCGAAGGTAGGAGAGGCCGTGCCCCGGGAGCGGGAGCCGCTCGGCGGTGACTGCACTTTAACCCGCTCCCCGCAGCCCCTCGATAGAGGGCCGACCATGACCCTGTAACTATTGAAACCCGCTAAACTCCCCCTTATCTAGCCAAACTCTCCGTTAACCAGCCAAACTCTCCGTTAACCAGCCCAACTCTTCTCCCCCCCCCCACAACTAGTCATGATATGAAGGCGCCAATGTTGGTCTGCGGTGGTCAAGGTCAGAAATCACACGACACCAAGTTATACTCCAACAGGTTTATTTGAAAACACCAACTTTGGGAGCCTCACTCCTCCTTCAGGTGTTAGGGAGTGAGGTGGTATCAGACACAGAATTTATAAGTAAAAGATCAAAGGGTCATACCACTGATGAGGATGTAATAAACAAACTTAAGATGTTGTTAAATATTTAATCAGTTAGAAGGCTTTAATTGATTAAAATGTATATATAAATCTCCGAATTCCTTTGAAGTCACTGCCCTGAACGAACTAAAGGTGTTATCAGTGTAAAGAAGAGGTGACATTTTAGGTCAGACAATGCATGTTAGGTGTGAGGCCTTGTTTAGAATCTGTTTTGGTTTTGTGTCAGACTGGTTTTATTTCTAAAGTAGGAATTTATAAAACCCCACATTGAGTGTCTATAAATTGTGTACTTTTTGAACAAAATAGAATGTATCTGCAAATACAAATTCACCCCATAGATTTACATATATATATGTGTGTGTGTGTGCTTAAACCTCTCACTAAAGCATCACCAAGCTGACAATTCCTCTTATTCACCTCCTAATTTATTAAATTTCTCCTGTAACTTTAATCAACTGCCCAGCCCATATGTCCCACAATATCAGCTCTCCTGATGTGCTTTATATTTCCAGTGCTTTGAGTTGTTTCTTTGCCTGATTACCAGCCAGAGCTCACTCTGAGGTGAGAGCTGCAGCCTGTGTCCTCTTGCCCTTGGATGCTGCCTTTGCCCATGTGTCTGACAGGCCAAGCCGCACCTGTCATTGCTTCAATTGCCAAGTTAAAGGGCATCTTGGTTCAGCTGCTGTTTGCTTTATGTGCAATCCCGATTACTATTTTGTCTACTATGAGACCACGACTGTAATTCAAATCCACTCAATTTCTCAAGAGAAACTGGATACCAAAACCGTATTTTAACATTTGCAAACTTGAAGTAACTATTTCCTGCTTCTATTATAATTCTTTACAACTGTTCTCACCTTCTGAAATACTTTCCACACTTTGTCAAAGGCTAGAATTTGATGTTTGCTTTGTTGGTTGATGGTTGTTCTCTGAAATCAATAAATAATGCATTGATATAAGGCAGAGAAACAAACACAAAAGAAAATGATTAATTGAAAAGAAAAACAGACATAGTGCGTTGATTTTACTGCTTTACACATTTTGCGCAAATATTGGACAGCCTGATTCAATGTCAACCAGTTGTCAGCCCTCTTGCCAAGGCTGCTCTGAAACTGATCACTGCAGTGTTGTTTTTAATTTGTTCATGGTTGTAGGTTCTGTGAGCTAGGCCAGCAATTATTGCCCATCCCTAATTTCCTGGAGAGGGTAGTAATGACTTGCTTTCTTGAACTGCTGCAGTCCATGTGATGGTGCCCCCCAGGTTACTGTTAGAAAGGGGAGTTTTGGGTTTTGCCCCAGTGATAATGAAGGAACAGCAATTATAGCTCAAAGTTAGTGTACTTTGAAGGGAAAGTTGGAGATTTTCCCAGATATGTCTTGCTCAGATCACTCTCTGTGTTCCTCCTCCTGGCTTACAAGCAGAAATTGAAGCATGAGGACCCAGGACAGAAAGTAGTGTAGTGTTGGTCTGAAGCAAAGGAAGGGCTTCTATGGGACTGCTTAGAGTTGGTGGACGAGTCCACATTCAAGAACTCAGCGGCCAACTTAAACCAATATGCGACTCCCAGTACAGTAAGCACTTCGATAGTAAGTGAACAGGAGATTGCATGCTGAAGAAGTTAATCCGATTGTTTCCGGTTAGGGAGCATTGGGCAAACCAGGTGATCCATGCCCTACTGAAGTCCAGGTCTGAGGTGTACAAGCCAGGCAACCCTGGTGTCTCCAGGAAATTCAGGTCTGACTTTCATAAGGCCATCAGAGACGCCAAGAGGCAAAACCAAACTAAACTTGAGACCCAGACCAACCACATGGATACCCATCGTTTGTGACAAGGCTTACATGACATAATGGGCTACAAAACGAAGTTGAACAGAAATGTGGGCAACAATACATCCATGCCTGATGAGCTCAGTGCATTCTACCTCACTTTGAACAGAAGGTCAATGAAATGATGTCACCTATCCCAACAGCCTCAGATACACCTGTACCTACAGTTACCCCACAGATCGGCCTTCTTGAGAGTGAACTCACAAAGCGACTGGCCCCGATGGTCCAGCGGGCGGGAGTATTCGCAGACATCTTTCCTCACTACAATCTGAAACTCCTAACTGCTTCAAGAAGACCACCACCATTCCGATGCCAAAGAAAAATAATGATGTGGAGATGCTGGTGTTAGACTGGGTTGGACAAAGTCAGAAATCTCCAGGTTATAGTCCAGACACCGGGTTATAGTCCAACGAATTTATTTGAAAACACAAGCTTTCGGAGCGCTGGTCCTTCATCAGGGGATGTGTAAAAACTTCACCTGATGAGCAGTTGCCATACCATGCTGTGACGCATTCAGATAGGATGCTTTCTATGGTGCTTCTGTAAAAATTGGTAAGAGACCTTGTGGGCATGCCAAATTTCCTTAGCCTCCTGAGGAAGAAGAGGTGTTCTGCTTTCTTGTCAGTTGCATCAACTATGGCAAGTGAGATGCCACCTGACGAAGGAACAGCACTCTAATAGCTTGTGATTTCAAAGAACAATCATGCAGCATGCCTCAACGACTACCGCCTGGTGTCTCTGACTTCCATAAACTATGAAGTGCTTGGAGAGGTTAGTCATGGTTCACATCAGTTCTAGCCTGCCAAGTTGCCTTGATCCTTTGCAATTTGCCTGCCACTGCAACAGGTCCACAGCAGACACTGTCTCTCTGGCCCTACACTCATCCCTGGAACATCTGAATAACAAGGATACCAATGTCAGGCTCCTGTTTACTGACTACAGTTCCGCCTTCAACACCATCATTCTAAATTCTGAGACGTAGGTCTTTGCTCTCCTCTGTGTAACTGGATCCTTGACTTCCTGACCGATAGACCTCATTCATTGAGTATAGACGACAATGATTCCTACAGCATAATCCTCTAACTGGTGTCCCGCAAGACTGTGTACTCAATACTGTACCATACTCGTTTATACTCACATCTGTGAGGCCAAATTCCACCCCAACTCCATTTACAAGTTTGCTGATGACACCGGTGTTGTAGGTTGGATCTCAAACAATAATGAGACCGAGTACAGGAAAGAGATTAGCGGCAGGGTGTAAAGACAACAATCTTTCCATCAATGCCAGCAAAATGAAGGAGCTGGTCATTGATGCAGACAGGGGCGTGCCCTCCACTTCGCTTCCTGAAGTCAATGGTGCTGAAGTAGAGATGGTTGAGAGTGTCAAGTTCCTGAGAGTGGTGTTCATCAACAACCTGTCCTGGTCCACCCACATTGATGCAACAGTTAAGAAAGCACAACACCGTCTCTATTCCCTCAGGAGGCTCAGGAAATTTGGCATATCCACAAGGTCTCTTACCAATTTTTATAGATGCACCATAGAAAGCATCCTATCTGGATGCATCACAGCATTGTGTGGCAACTGCTGTTTCCGTGATCGCAAGAAACTGCAGAGAGTTGTGATCACAGCCTGGACCATCTCTCAAACAATCCTTCCATCCATTAACTCAATTTATAATTCCTGCTGCCTCAGGAATGCAACCAACATAATGAAAGAATCCTCGCATCCTCTCCCAATGGACAGAAGATATAAACATTTGTATATGATCTTGTCCTTTTAGGAAATAGAGGTCGTGAGTTTGGAAGGTCCTGTCAAAGGAATCTTGGTGGGTAGCTGCAGTGCCTCTTGTAGATAAGTGCTGCATTGAAGGTTAAAGGAGTAAATCTTAGATGGAATGCTAATCAAGTGGGCTGTTTTATCCTGGATGGTGGTAAAATTTCCAAGCGTTGTTACAGCTGCACTCATCCAGGCAAGTGGAGAGTACTGGGTCTCCAGACTTATGGATGTTGGATATGCTTTGAGTTATCAAGTTATCATGCCAAGAACTCTCAACCTCTGACATGCTGTTGGAGTCACAGTATTTATCACTGGTCCAGTTAACTTTCTGGTCAATGTTAACTCCCAGGATGTTGATAGGAATTCAGTGATGCTTTTTGCTTTTGAACGTGAAGGAGAGGTGATTAGATTCTTGTTGGAGATGGTTATTGCCTGTCACTTGTGTGATGTGAATGCCATTTGATGCCCAAATTTGAATGTTGTTAACAAAGCAGCTTAAGGTGATCTTTTGCCGTGTAAGCTATCTTGAGGAATTCCTGTAGTGATGTCTTGTGACTGAGATGAATGACTTCCAACAACCATGACCATCATCTTTTATGCTAGATATGACAGTAACATTTGGAGAGTTTACCCCTGATTACCGCTGAATCCAAATTTGCTCAGGCTTCTTGATGTCATACTTGATCAATTGCTGCCTTGATGTCAAGGGCTTTCACTTGTGCTTCGCCCCTGGAGTTCATATGGTAGGCTGTAGAACAGGGTATTTGCTTCTAGGACTTAACTCCCCCTTGTTGTAAAGCAGTGATAGGGAGCATCCATCCTTTCTCCATGCCCCCATACTCCTCCCCCACCCGAAAAGAAAGATTAATGCATTAAAATTGTGATATGCTGAAACAAAGGACCTGTCCACAAGTTGCTGTCAAGTGGAGCTTTGAGTTAGCAACCAAAACCCCTATGTAACCTGGTTTGCCTACAAATTCACTCTGTCAAACAAAAAGTGACACAGT